GTGGCTACAGTGTAGTTTGCCATCATCAGTGTGTGAATGTGAGTGTGAATGGGTGAATGTCTGTTAGTGTAAAGCGCTTTGGGGGTCCGGAGGGACTTGAAAAGCGCTCTATAAGTTCAGTACCATTTACCATCTGCATTGTTCTAGTTCAGATCTTAATTAATTTGAGCAGAGGCAAGCTAGCTGTGTCTGGCTAGTTATACATTTTGAGCTAAGCTAACGTGGCTAGCTGACATTTTTTATAAATGATGATGAAATTGTTTGCGTTGAGCCATTCTTGATTTTCTAGCATTACAAACAAAATGTCTAATTTTTAGAAATATGAATATAAAACAAATGTAAAACTGAAGTTGCATTAGCATCTTAGCTCGAATAACAGTTTTGTATTTTCATTTAAAAAGATTTATGCTTCTATTTTTGTGTAAAATAAATAAATAGTTATAAAGTTATTTAGTTAGACTTATAGCTTGAAGTTAGAATTGTTTATAATTCTGAAGAGACTAGCTTTCCCGCCATTTCTAGCATTTGTGCTAAGCTAAGCTAAAACAACATCTTAGTGTTGTACGGACACAATGTCAATAATTTTCTTCAACCATAAATAAAAATAACATGAAAGCTCTTTGTTGGTGACCAGATAGGGTAAATAATAATTGTGTGAATGCCAGCATGGCTTCGAGGGAAAGAAAAAGGAACAATGTCCTGACGCTGTATTCACTGTTATTCTAAACTTCTGTTTGAGCAGAAGAAACTAAATGTTCACAAGTGCTTTTATGTGAGCAAAAGTAATTTGCACTTCACAGTTTGTACCAATTTGAATCTCCTGCTTTGCTCAAACAGTAAGTCAGTGTTTTCTTTCAGCTGCTGTAAAAGACATAATTAGACGTGATTTCTCCCACAAGCTTTGTGCTCCAATAAAGTATGGCCACTACAAACGGTTTGAAATGCTTAAAACTGACTGAAAGGAGCCAAAGCCTCCAACAAAAACACACGTCTGATCCTGAAAATTAAAGAGAAAATCTACGAGGAGTCATTTCAGGCGGGGTTTCTGTTTAAACGCTTTATCTCGTTGAGCGTAACACCCTGTGAGGAACTCTAATTGGTTTTTACCAAAGCATAAAACAAGCATTCCATGTGTTTACACAGGAGTTCAGCAAAGCAAACAAGCTGCAGTGTTTGTCTGTTTTTTAATATTAATAATACTTAAAACTAATTTGTCTCGATTTTGCACGAGGGCTTAAACTAAAAACGAGTGGGAAGTAAAACCCTGATCTAATTAAAGCCAAATATTGTGAGTCAGATAGGTGCAGCTGGGGCTGTTTGTTCAGGTTTACAGACAAAAACAAGAAAAACTGAAGTTTTCACAAAAGAAAATGTTTGTAAATGTTTTAAAGTCCTCACCAGCTCCAGCCCTGCCTGCTGGACCCAGAGAATTTATCCATCAGAGCCGTGAGTTTCAGCACAGACATTTTCTGCAGCAGCAGGATCTGAGAGGCAGACTGGACCTCCAGTCCTGGACCCGGGGGCTGGGGGGACAGGTTCTGCTCGCTGGACCACCACAGCTGTCGGCTCACCCTGCAGGAGACACAGCTGAGACCTCAGGCCAGAATAACTGAAGGCTAATAGAAGCTAAGTGTAGCAAAGAAACCTGAATTATCATAAATAAAATATTTTTTTCTCCTCACATCTGAACCTGGATCTGTTCAAAGACTCTGATCTGGTTTCAAATCTGAATCAAGTGTGAACACAACTGGATTTAGCTTCATTAGACTCACCTTTTCTGCAGTCGGGGAGATCTGGTTTTCTGGTTCTCAGGTTCCTCTGGATGCTGCAGCCTCAGATGGATGTGGCCAGAGGAGGAGGAACCATGTGTAGGTGAGACGTGGGAGGAGGAGTTATGTTTAGGTGATTCCTGGCAGGAGGAGGAGCCACATTCAGGTGAGTCCTGGCAGGAGGAGGAGCAACATTCAGGTGAGTCCTGGCAGGAGGAGGAGCCTCTCTGGAAGTCGTTTTCAGATATGTCCTCAGACCAGGAGGAGACCAGCTGTTGGAGGTCACTGATTCGTTCCAGAACATCATCAAGGGCGGAGAAAACGTTCTCGCCTGCCATCAGATGATCCACCTGGAGGGTTTTAAAAGAACCTGTTCAGAGCTGGTCCACAGATCCCACCTCTAAATGTCTGAACTGTCCAGTTTTTGAACTCACCTCTGGCTGCTCGGCGTCACTTCCACCGTCGCTCTCTGACAGCTGCACATTGTCGTAGACGCTCAGCCGGTGGTCCGCCTCTACGATCTGACCCGAGGACTCGGGACTCTGGTCTCCAGCAGTCAGGGAAGACCCGCCCCATCTGGAGCCGTGTTGCCCCCAGTTACTGTGGAAACTGCCGGTCCTCCATTTAACAGAGGTGCTGTCGATGACCGGGGACAAGATGTGTTTGTGGGCCAGGGAGGAAGGGAAGGTCCCAGGTTTGTGTCCATGGGGGACCTGGAAGACCAGGTGGTCTTTGCTGCTGCTGTTGATCTGGTTCAGGATCTACAGGACGATGATGGAAAATATTTTTAAAAAAGAAGAGCCTGCAGTGTAATATTATGATCTAGGCACTTTCTGCCCCGCCCCTTTTTGGAAGAACCAGAAAGGGGGCGGGACATCCCACAATTTAGGAAACCTCACACACTGTCTGACTGACCTCAGTTTCTGTGTGGTTCTGATCATTCTGGGTCAAGCCCACACCACTGTTGGAGCGTTTGCAGTTCCTTCGGACCCGGGTGACGGGACTGGGCRTGCTGATGGTGCTGCTGCTCTCCGATTGGCTGCTGCTGCTGGTGGGAGGAGTCGACAGCGCTGAAGATGAGTGACTGCTGGACCGGGCCTGTGGACTGGAGACATGAAACAAACGTGTGGTTTTACTCTGAATGGGTCTGAAATCTGACTAACAAACGAGTCTCACTTCAGTGGGTGGGCCCGGCGGTCCGTCTTCTCATCTGGAACCAGAACCAGTCTACCAACGTGACGCCGGTCCCCCCTCAGCTTCTCCATCTTCCTCAGCAGAGCGGTGCACTTCCTCCTGGGTGGTTTGTTCCTGAAGCTGCCTTCAGTTTCCAGACTGACCGAGGACGATCCTCCTCCGGAGCACGGAGGTCCACTGAGCGAGGTGTCCAGGGACCGGGTCCTGTTTGTAGAAGAGCAACGAGAGGAGCTCCTGCTGGTCTCCTGCTCCTCTGTTGTACTGCTGTTGACAGCAGAGGGAACCAGTTCTCCCAGATCCGTGTGGTGCTTGTCGCTGTCTGTGCTGTTGGAGCTGTGGATAGAGCTGACATCATGGTCCAGAGGCCCGGCTGGACCGGAGGACAAACTGAGGACCTCATCGTTGGAGTCGAGGCGTCGCCACCGTCGAGTCCATCTGTCAAAGGTCCATTTGGGGCTGATGGTGCAAAAGTCTTCCTCATCCCAGTCTTCCCCCTGGAGGAAGACAAAATCCTTACAGAGCTGGATTTGATCCTCCACCTGCTCCCTACTCTCACTACAGAGGTGTCATCAGACCCCCAATGAAAGACTGAGACACTGGGACAAAGACCGACCAAACCTCTTCTTCTTTGGGTTGTTTCTTGTTCTTGTTCATGTGTCTTTACAGCAGGGGTGCCCAACCAGTCGATCACGATCGACCAGTCGATCTTGGATCTTATCTTAGTCTGGTCTCTAACTGAAGACTCCTCTAAGGCCGTCCAAATATCTTAATTCTAAAATGTTTCCAGCTAAAACTCACCCGGTGTTTGGATCTCCTCGGCTCCAGCTTCATTTCCAGGCATTTGTTTAAAGTATTTAACCTCCTGAAAGACAGACGGATGAGTTAAAGAACGGAAACAAAAGAAACTATTTTACTCCTGAAAGTAAGTAGAAACTAGTGTTTTATTAAAATATTTATACGCAAGTTCTTCTTTAAAGTGGATATTTTGAATATTAACGACTCCAATAAGTCCTCTATAGCTCCAACCCTCCTGCTGCACTTGGGTTAAGATGGCCACCAAGGTCAGAAATGGTCTAGAATCTATTAGAATATAAAATGTCATTGGAAGTTTCTGATTGAGCCAGAACCAGATCCTTCCAGTTGTTCTCAATAATCTAAAAACTAATCGGTGTTTTTGATCTTCCAGTTGAAGCTACGCTGCGTTTCTCTGGGATGTAAAATCAAACCATCGCTACCTGCAGAGCGAGCTGACGGAATCCTCGTCCAGGAAGCCGTGGTCGCGTTTCGCCGCCTCGACGTCGAGAGGAAGCCTGCAGTCTGAGACACAAACGAGGCGTAAAAAAATAAAACTAAAAGCCGGGGACATGATTCAGACTGGACTCTGCGTGGAACAGAATACTCACCTCTGAACAGCTGCACGTACTGAGGGAAGCCGGCGGCTCGCAGCCAATCACAGGCCTCTCTGGCTTCAATCTCTGCAAACAGCGAGAAGGAAAAAACAGAATTTATTCACTTATAATCCCTTCATGCTCTGCCTGCTTTAAGAGCCCAAATACAGTGGTTTGCAAAAGTATTCATACCCCTTGAACTTTTCCATATTTTGTCACATTACAACCACAAACATAAATATATTTCACTGGAATTTAATGAATACCAACATGTTTTGTATAGATG